ATGGCTGCTGAGCTCGTATCGTCGCCCCTGCGCCATTGCCCGCTCTGCACGGCGGGATCGGCACTTCAACCACAAGGCGACACACCAGCTGTGTGGGGGCTGTCGTATGCTACAGGCTTCGTTCGTCTCCGGGCACAACGCCTGCGTTGCCCGTCTTGTCGCGCATGGTTTTTGGGCTGCTGGGCATACCCCCACGGTGGCCAAAGCCGCGTGGTGATAGCTTGCCATCCGACTGCGTGCAGTTGGTTCTTCTTTCGGGAGCGCCTGCATGCAGACAGTTTCGTGGCATTGCACACCGAATATCTGCGGTTCATGTCCACCGCCTTCCTCTTCTTGCGTGCTTCGTTTTCTGGCTTGGTGAAGACGGTTCAAGCCATGTTTCCTGGACCGGATCTAACTCATCACGACTGCCAGCGTTGTGTTGAGCATGGCTGGTTCCTGTACAACACACTTCAGCACACTTGGGCTGCGTCTCGGGTTGGCACCGTCTTTGATGTACGCCTCGATGCACTGGATCGGACTTTGGCGCAGCATGAGCCGTGGTTGCATGATCTGCTTCACCGCCACGCTTCTTCCCATACTTGCGTGCATTGCTCCAATCCGGTGCTTGCTGGCGACGGCGGCATGAAGCTTACCACCTCGCTCTGCAATGAACGCACCTCTGCTTCGTTCACCGACTCTCAGTTGGGGCTGCGCGTGACGCTGGGGTGCACAAAGCGGCCCCAAGCTAAGTCGGTGTTTTGCCGCGGCCACCAACTGCCGCCTTCCCCCCAGCTTCCGCCGGAGATTCGGGATCACAAACGCATCAGCGGCCACATCCATTTCCGCTACGTCGGCAGCGCCGACTTCCTGCCTCTGCAGCAGGTGGCTGCTGCTCGGTTGCGCCAGTATGACTCTAAGCTGGCGCTTCTGGACTATGCTACCGCAGATCCGGGCCGCTTTGGGGGAAGCGAGCGTGATGGAGCGCCTGCTGAGGCGATTTCGTTTTCACTGTTGATCCTGCGTTTTTTTTTCCCCCCTTACCCGGTCCTATAGCTTTTCCCTTCTGACTAAAGCCTCTCAACCATCATTGCCGTGGCCCGGGGCATGGGCACTGTTCTTCTGCCCTGCGCCTTCCACAGGAGCTGCTTCAGATGGACGCTACTGACTATGAGTTCATTCAGACATGCAATTGCATCAAGGACGAGCGAAAGCGGCTCGCCGTTCGTCGCTATGCTGGGGTCTTCGTCATCGTACTCCCTTGCGGGCACATCGTCCACGTACATCACCTGGTGGGGTCAGAGAGCTTGCCACAGGTTGCCCTCTGCTTCGCCCAGGCGCTGCGTCTCACCAACGGCAAGCGCTTCCTGTGCTATGACAATGCGTGTGCCCTGGCGCGCTTTTGTCGCAACCCAGTCCGTGCGCACCGGATGGGCATCTTTCAGGGTTGTCAATTCATCTTGCCAGAGTCACACGCACGGGGCCACACGGCGTGCCTGGACCCCACACACGTCCACTTTTTGCCAGAGGTGCGGAAAAGTCAGCACCCCGAACTTCAGGGCATCAACACTGAAGCACAGGAGCATGTTTTTGCTTGGGCTCGTTGGCTAGTCTATGTGGCCAACCCAATGGCCCCAGTGCGGCACCGACTCTTTTTCCTTCTTCTCTGCTTGGCGCGAAATCAGAACCGGGACATTGCCCGGCCCATGCCCCGGCGTCGACGCCCTCGTGCGTGGGGATTGTGGCGCGGTGCTGCACGCACTGCTGACGTGGATGAAGGGCCACTGGGCGACGCACCTGTGCCAGAGGTTGCTGCGGATCCTCCTCAGCAGGTCGCCCATGACGTACCTGTGGCGGCGGATCCTCCGGATGACCCCATGGTGCCGGCCAACCCGGTACCGCCGCTCCTGCTCAATCTTCGCGATCGCAAGCTGCACCGAGTGGCCTCCCGGAATCACGTTGCCTGTGGCGCCACCTTGCCGAAGCGCTGGCGCTTTCTGACTTCCCGAGATGAAGAGCCTCGTGCCAAGCTGTGCCTTCGCAATGGTTGCTTCTCCCCGGGCGCTTGCGTTTAATTCAGACGATCCAGTCTGCATTGCACCAATTCGTTTTCTGCCGCCATCCGAAGTGATGCGCCTATATGCTTCACCATGCCGTGTGCTGACTCCCCTGCTGCACCGTAAAAGTGCGCTTCTGTCGCGTTCGGGCCGGTTCGTGCTTGCAGCTGTTCCTGCCTTGCCTTGTCGTGCTTCCGTTGGTTCGACCTTCGTGTCTACACATGTGCCTTCTGTCAGTCGTGTTGGCTCTTTCCGGTGCATTCCGTCTGACGGCGTGTCTATCCTCTCGCTACCATGGCCTTCTTTGCTTGCAGCGCCTTGTTTTGGACAGCTGTTTGTGTGTTCTACTGGGGACTCCGCTCAATTCGCCGTGGCCGCCCCACGAGCGCCAAAACTCGTGCCTTGTTCCACCTCGGTCGGACCCGTGCCTTGGTCTGCACATGTTGTCGCGTATGCTTCGCGGATTCTTCAAAGCCTTGCTTTGTTGTTGCCTACTTTTTCGCTTATACTGTCTTCCTGGTTTCTGCTGCACGGTGCCCAGGTCCTGCCGCGCTTCAGCGACGGGAGCGCCTCTGTGCACACTGCCGCTGCGGATGGTTCTGGCTTGCGACCATTGGCGCTGCGATCCGCGATGCATTGCAGCTGCTCTTCGGCACCTTGCTCTCAGCATGTTCTCCTCGGCCTGTCCAGGCCTCCGGCCTCCCGTTGCTCGCTTTGTCCGACCGATCGGTCGGCGATGTGTCGACTGACGTCGACGTGGACTACTTCTTGGACGTCCTGCCGAGCGAGTTGCTGCCTCTGGTGTGTCTTGTTTGCAAACCCCACTGTTGTGGTTTCTCGCACGCTTGTATTACTTCTCCTTTGCTTTCAGCTTCATGTTCGTCTTGAGCTGCTGAATGTTTCCTTCCTCCAGGTCCTCTTCCTCCAACACCACGGGAAGTCTGCTGCGTGCATTGCATCTTGCGACGGCCCTGTGCCCGGAGCAATTCGTCCTAGTCCTTTGTCATGGCGCACGCTTCGACCCGCAGCTGCAACGCAGCCTTGCGCTCACCTTGAATGGTTGCAGCGCTGTGCCATTGGACCCTCTGCTCAGCGTTCTTCGATCTGTGCTTACAGAGCACCTGCACATTCTCGACCTGCCAACGGCCAGAGCCCGCACAGCATTTCCGACGGACGGTGCTCTGCATCCGGCAATGCCTCTTCCTGCATTGTGCCACCACGGCGGCTACTGGACGTTTGGGTGGCTCATGCCAACAAGAGCGGGGGTTGACTCCGCAGACTGCTCGCTAAGCGGGGCGGCAGCATCTGCCGAGGCAGCCTCTGCCGAGGCAGAGGGCACAGGAACAGCAAATTCAGCAGCAGAAGAGCTCGGCGTGGCATCGGCCGAGGCAGAGGGCACAGGAACAGCAAATGCAGCAGCAGAAGAGCTCGGCGTGGGCGGTGCACATGGCGCGCCACAGGGAGGCTGCAGTCCGCTTCCATCAGATCGACATGATGTCATGTCATTCCTCGCTGGCCTCTGCTGCCTGATGCCGCTCCGTGCAGATGTGCTGCAGGGGGCACTGCACGCGGCCGGATTGGATATGTCTGCTTCCGTGCCCTGCAGGCTTCAAGACTTGGCTGCTCTTGTCGCTGCGCTGGGTCAAGCTGCTTTTCCGGATGGGGTGGTCCTTCGATGCATGGAGCCTCCATCGGCATGGCTTCTGCACCAGGGCTGTTGTCAACCCTGCCACATCACGCGCGACACCCCGCCGCATGGCTTTTTGCTGAGGTCTGCTGCGGGGCGCTTCTCTTCATGGCTGCAGCTGCCGCGAGCCTTCGCACCAGAGTGGCCGCGGCAGATCGCCTTGTCCTCCTGCTGTTTTGCGTTCTGGGATGCAAGTGCCCCATTTGCTGACAATGCCAACTGTTTCTTTGATGCTTTGGGCATCGACCGATGCGTGCTGTTGACCTATGCGCTCGCATCTGCCTACGCCTTGCCGCCTCGTCTGGGGCGACTGGTGGTGACCCGGCTCCTGCGACTGTTTTCCACGACCTGCCCTGTGTGTGGCCTCGATTGTCAGCTTTTCGTCAACCTGTTGCCTGCGTGGTTTCCACACGGCTTACTGCTTCTCCACTGCGAGGGAGCACTGCTCCACTTCCGATCCGGCTTTCCGCCTGCAAGTGTTCTTCCCGAGGTGGCTTGGCTCCATTGAACATTCATTACTTACGGTGCTTCACCGACTTGCTTGTTGGGACCTTCCAGTTTGTTTCCTGCTGTTGCGTTGCTTATCCCCGCATTTCCCAGGATATTTTCGAATTTCTCCCATCCTTACCCCTCATCTACTACGAGCACGCGCACTTCTACGCCGCGGTCCTGTTTCCGGACGCCTTGGCAGGAGCTACGATCTCCATGCAAAGACTGGTGCGAGTGCCTACCGCACTGGTTCCTTCTCTTGCGGCCCAGATCCTTGGTGCCGGTCGCAAGTTCACGGAGACGGAGATCCTGGCGGCTTTCGCAGCTGCAGAAGACATTCCGTTCCCGCTCGCCGACCTGGAGAAGCTGGTGCCTGCGATCTGCAAACACTGCTCTGCTGTGGCCGACTCCCTCAGTGTTCCATTATCCTGGGTGCTTCTCGCAGAGGTGTGCACAGCGGCATTCTTGGCCCCAACCTCGGTCCTCTTACCGACCAAAACCTTGCCATTGTACAGCATGCCCTGGGCACTCATTCTGCATCCTGGTGCCACCCAAACCAGCGGCCTCATGGCCGCCTACAATCGCACACTGCGCCAGATTGAGCTCTGGGAAGATGAGTTCCAGCTAGCGCAGGCCAAGCTTGCCTTCCGGCAGCAACAAGACGGGGCGCAGCCTGCTGCTGCGGGCAGCGATGAACAGGTGACAAAGAGACCCCGCTTTACCCCTCCGCCTCCCATGCACATGGGATTCACATCCGGCTCCATCGATGGTGTTGTGGGACGCATGGCCGAACCGCAGAACCTGAGTCGGGCTGCTGCGTTTTTGGCGGAGGGGCTCATCTTCTTGAGCTGGATCTCGGATCAATGTGCCAGTCATAAAGGCCTCATCACTCAGCTTACCGATCGGATTCTTTGGGACAAGGTCACCGTGAAGGCCTGCTTCTCGAACGTTTGTTTCCTTTTCTGATTCTGTCTTTTTCTCTGTTGTCGACTGGTCTTGCTGACTCTTAACGCATTCCGTCATCTTCTTTTATCCTTGCAATGTTCTGCCAGGATCGCACCACAGTCATGGTCGATGCTCCCTTCCTTGGGGTGTGTGCCGCTGTCCACATGGAAGAGGTGATGAATGCAATTGGCACTGAGGACCCCCTGGGTTTGCGGGAGCGCTTGCTTGTCATGTACGATAGACCGCGCTTTGCCCGTGCTGCTGCGCTGCGTGATGCCTGCGCAGCCATACCTGCGGCGACGTTGCATGGGTTCCTTGCAAACCATTTTTGGAACCTTCATGTGGTGCACCATCCCGCGCACCCGCCGAAGGAACGCTTCACGCGGGATCTCAACTACAATTGGCTGCACTACACCTTCGCCGCTGATGCAGCTACATTATTCTGGGACAACTTTGATGAGCGCGCTTCAGAGCAAGAGGCCGCCTATCGAGTTGATCAACAGGCTGCAAAGCGCGCAGGCAAGGGCAAGACGAGACATTTTCGTCTGGCGCTCCCTTTGCACAACCTCATGCAGGCTTGCAATGGCGTTGCCCCAGACAATTGGTCCTTTGAGATCTCCCTGCAAGCTGCCCAAGCAAGTCTCGCTTTTAGTACATGGATGGACAGCATCTTTGCTACCCTGGATCTCCTCCGCGCGGCACCGCCGCCTTCTGTCGCCGATCCCGCCGCAGCAGCGCGTCCAGCTGCGCCATCCGACCTTCGCAGCATTTTGGCCTGCACGACCATGCCGTCGCTCCTCGCAGCCGGCATCCATCCCGCACACCTGCGAACCATGATGCTTGCCGTCTTGGAATCGCAGAAGAAGCCCATTCTGCGCCACAATGATGTGCTGCATCTGCGCAGCGTGCTCGCCTTGAATCTTGAGGATCGTCTTGCCCTCGCACATGCCCTGCGAGCCTTGCGGGCTCTGGACTTGCTCGGCTTGGGGGTTTTGACGCACAGCACAAATGCAACCGGTACGAAGGTGCTGTGGTTCACCAAACGCCCTCCGGATGATTGGCGGCATGTGGCCCTGCAAGTGTCCCGCACTGCGCTGCAACTCCCGCCAGACTTCCCGTTCGCTTCGTGGACCCTGGAGCGCCTCCGAGAGGGTCGCATGAAGAGCCAGACAGAGATATCTTTCCCAGACCTCGACGGCGAAGATGTTCGTCGTACCATTGCGGGGCACGCGGAATCTTGGCGCCAGCTTCTGGGCGGACAACGCGTGGAGCAAGCAGCTGCGCCGTGAGAAAAGGTGCCGCTTGACACGCTGCTACCTCAGCTGCTCAGCTGCTGCGTTCGGCCTTGTCATGTTCTGCCCTTTCCGCTCACCTTGCATCCAGATGGTGTGTTATGCTGCCGTTCCTGCTGCTGTTGCTGCTGCTATTGCTCGTGTTGTTATTGTTCTGCTTCTTGTTCTTGTTCTTGTTGTTCTTCTTGTCGTTGTTGTTGGTGTTGGTGTTGGTGTTGTTGTTTGTTGTTTGTTTGTTGTTTGTTTGTTTGTTTGTTTGTTTGTTTGTTTGTTGTTGTTGTTGTTGTTTGTTGTTGTTTGTTGTTGTTGTTGTTGTTGTTGTTGTTGTTGTTGTTGTGGTGGTGGTGGTGGTGGTGGTCGTCGTCATCGCGTCGTCGTCGTCGTCGTTGTCGTCGTAATCGTACTCGTAGTAGTCGTAGTAGTCGTAGTCGTCGTAGTCGTAGTCGTAGTCGTCGTCGTAGTAGTCGTAGTCGTAGTAGTCGTAGTAGTCGTAGTAGTCGTAGTAGTGGTAGTCGTAGTCGTGGTCTTAGTAGACGTGGTAGTGGCAGTAGTGTTGGGTGTAGTCGTGCTAGTGGTAGTGGTCGTCGGCGGATGATGATGACGATGATGATGATGATGAGGATGAGGATGATGATGCTGATGATGATGGTGATGATGATCAGGATGAGGATGCTGATGATGATGAGGCGGATGAGGAACTAGCACGCCATATACTGACGCGTCAGTTCGGTCGGATACATTGAGATATCTGTATATATGCATAGGGAATCATAGGGATACATTGATCCCACCCTCCTCCGTCCCCCCTGCTCGTCCACTGCTGTGCGGCGTTCCCCTCGCGATGGTTGGGTCCGCTCCCCAGACCTGCGTATCTCGTATCCCGCGTATATATATATATATATACATATATATATATATATTACGAGGTTCTACCGATCAATAGAACGATAGATGCATAGATAAATGTGTTGCACTTGCAATAAATACTATCCTAGGATCCTGTGTGCGTTTTCAGCACTATATATCATATATTGCTTGCTGCGCTTCGGCAAAGCTCCCGCAAACCCCCGCAAATCATGCTTTTCTTTTTCCGGTCGGACCGCAAATAGCTTGGTCGGACGCTCTGAGGCATGCAAATAGTCCATACTTTGGATCCTCGGGGTTTGGACCGATGTCACTCATTTTTTGGGCTGTGTGACCTCTGTTCTTAGAACGACCATTTTTTGCTCGGCAGTGGCGGGTCGAGGACACTTGCATGCAGGCCGATTCGTTGCAACTGCAAGTTTTGGCCCGAGCCCACCCCCTCAGCCGAGATGAATCACGGGTGCTCTGTGATGATCGCCTCATGATCGTATGCCCCGTCCGATTGGACGGATGTGACCAGGTGTTCCGTAGCAACTTGGGCTGAATATGTATGTATATATATATATATTTGTATATATATATATATATATTTGTATATGTATATATATATATGTATATATATATATGTATACTATATGTTTGTATTATGTGTATGTATATATATATATATGTATATTTTTGATTATCACACGTACGTACATACATACATACATGCATGCATGCATGCATGCATGGCAAGTTTGGAGGAGTGTCGCAGCTGCATTTTGAAGCGTCCTGCGAAAGCTCCAATGGGCGAATTCGCAACCGAAACGGAGCTTCATGATGGTAGGGATCAACTTTGGGCTAAAAAATCCTTTGAAAAAAGCCACTTTGCCGGCCTTCTGACGGGCCTTCTGAATCTTTACGAGATGACACACTCTAAGGTTGGGCGTGGTTGTGGGAGACGTGACGCTCCGTTTCGTGCGAATGTATGTGGATGATTCAGGTGTGGAATTTGGTCTCGGAGGGGGAGGACAATGCAGCCACGGCTCTTTCTACATCGCTATGTACTGTGAATTCGTTATTATATAGTTGATGGGATATTGGAGACTATGGCATCAACTTTGGCTACCTGTCTTGTGCGCAATTGACTGCCAGCCAAATGTTCCTTTTTGAATGTTTCGGACATTTTTTTTCACGAGGATTGGATAGAATTCGTTCATTGGAGTTCCACCTCACTTAAGACCGCCTGGGAGAATCTCTCACGTGTTCGAATACCATCCACTGGTTTATCGTCATTCCACCTGTATCCCAATTGTATCCCAACTAAATCACAATTATGGCCCAACATGGCTATAGACACATTACTCAACCAATATAACCAATGTAATAAAATGATAATGTACTTGATATAACTCCTCAAAATAATCAGATCCTAAAATGCGTGTGTCTTTCTTCGAACTGTCCAAGTCTTCCAGGTCACATTTTCATCTCGAGAGTTCATCGAGGGTCTCCTGAAGCTTCGCCAAGCGATGATTGTCCTGGAGACTTGGGTCACGATGTGGTCAACGTAACGAAGTAACTATGGAAAATCACCCTTTTTAATGGGAACACTCTGGAAAAATCACAATTTTTAGTGGGAAAACTATGGAAGAATCATCATTTGTCTATGGGAAAACCATGGTAAAGCGCCATTTCTATATAGAGAATCACCATTTTTTATATGGAAAATCACCTTTTTGAATGGAAAATCACCATCTTTACGTTCGGTAAATCAACGACCTTTCTATGGGCCATGGCTTCTATGTCGCAAACTGTAAACGTTGATTACCCGGTCAATTTCACCTGGCGAGTCGGCTGAGTCGCCTATGTTGAGAATGGACGAATGAACATACCATAAGCACCAATGGATATCACCAATGGACGAAAATATACGGCATTTCTGATGCTGAGTTCAGCAGAGTGGCGCTGGGCAACGATTAGGTGAAGTATCCTGGTGGTGCTTAGTAGGGACTGGGGGAATGGGATGACTGTCTATGGTTTTAATATCTATATATATATATACATTTTTATATATTATATATATATATATTTCTTTATTTATACGTATACATAATAGGTTATTATAGATCATTCCCCACTTCCTGCTACGGTGCCGCAGACTGGGCCCAGTGGGAGATGCCCGAATTTGCTCTAGGATATTGGGGTAGCCAATTTTCAGACAAACCTGGGGGTCAACCCCCAGATGTTGGTCCACTTTGAGCGGCCCATCCCACTTCGGCGCCAACTTACCCCACGGCTCGCTCCGACCTTGGTTTCGCTCAACGAGGCTTTCTGCAAGCTAGAGACCAAGTATGGAACGGGCCCAGTGACCAAGGAACATTTCCTGAATTATGCACCTTGTCTGACAGCGTGGGATCAACATGTTTGCGGTGTGGAATAATTGTGCAGTTTGAGAGATGATGGGATAGAAGAGGTGGGAAGACACGAGCGATGCAAATGGAATTTCTCTGAACATTAAACATCGGTAGAGGTACCTCAAAACAATCACGAGTCCTCTATCAGAAAGGGACGCAGTTTCGGATTGGCGACTCAGGTGAGGAATCCAATTCATGCTGACGAACTGAAGAAGAAGGGCATCAGTGACCGCCTGTGAAATCAAGTGATGCCACGGTTTCGCTGCTATAGCTCGTTTGACTGTTAGAACACGCAGGAACATGTTACAACATGTCAGAAGAGTGAAGTATCGTCTAAAGCTGAAGCACACCCGAGCAAAGGATGTGTTGATTGAAGAAGTTGCTCCGAGTCTTTGATACGTTGATTTTTTTGCACTGGTGCTGCCGATGAGCCGATGAGCTCTATGCTCAGCCCGTACCCAAAAGGGTGTACCGAATAACCTTTTCTACTTGTTTGACATTGGCCGTGGCAGCCCGTCGCGTGCCAGTCTCCGGGCATCAAGAACCAAGTGTGTGAACAGCCATCTCCGTAGTTTCCTGCATGTCAAGTTTGCCGTGACACTGGATTTCACCTTTTTCATTGACTCCCATGTCTAACTTTTTCTCATATATAGGTCCGTATTCCAGGCGACTGGGTCCCCAAGAATCTCCAGTACTGCCTTGCCTGGACCGCTGCATGTGCTCCTCAGGCTAATGTTTCCAGCATGCTTGTCTTTACAGCCATGAGTGCTGCCGCGACGAGTGGTCAGTTCTGAGAAAACTTTGCCAGGAAAATCGGGCCAACGGTCGATGTTGTTAGGTGTGTGGGTGCTTGCCGAAAACGCGGGAACTGCAGTTAGAACTGCAGTGAGAACAGAGACAGACTTGACAAATTCAAAGAAGTCAAAGAACTGTGAGAACTGCGCGCCGGCGGAAGCTGTGCGTCTCCATTACTCATTACACTGTCGAGAAAACGGACAGCAAGATGGCAAGAAGCAACGGACAGTAGGTATTTCTTGTTTATAAAATCCATCGACTGGGAGGGAGCGACACGCTCTATGGTGCGGAAGTTTCAAAAGCACATCTCTCAGTTGATGGTGGCGGATTTCCAACGAAGCATTCCGGGTTCGTGGGTTCTATGGTTAAACAATCCTTATTGTCCGTTCTCCACTTTCTTTCCGTTCTCGCACTTGTGTAGTGAAGGGTTCATCAAAAGGTGGCAGTGGATGCTGAGGGGAGCGAAGGGCGAAATAAGCAGACCCTCACATTCACTGTCATCTTTGTAGATCTAGACTTCTTTACGGCACCGCATCAACCGCCAATTTCAACCATCAACGACGTGGTTGAAGTTCCCAGCACCAACAAGCGATGACAACACTGGCATCAAATTTACGAGACCAAAAGAAATATGCGACCCTCCCTCGCCTGACATAAATTCCCGGAGACCTTCAACCAACACCCCAAAAACAATCTTGCAGCAGAGGCTGCCACAGGCTTGTCGTCGTCGTCGTCGTAGTAGTAGTCAGTAGTAGTCGTAGTAGTAGTAGTAGTAGTAGTAGTAGTAGTAGTCGTAGTAGTAGTCGTAGTAGTAGTACTAGTAGTAGTAGTAGTAGTAGTAGTAGTAGTCGTAGTCGTCGTCGTAGTCGTAGTAGTCGCGAGGAGGCGGAGGCGGCGGCGGACGCGGAGCAGGAGGAGCAGGAGGAGCAGGAGGAGCAGGAGGAGCAGGAGGAGCAGGAGGAGCAGGAGGAGCAGGAGGAAGCGGAAGGATTCAGAGCAGGAGCTGTTTTCAAAAAGGGGGGGCGGGAGGGTGCAGCGCTCCCCTCCCAAAGCATTCCATGTTCCTTGTGACGGGGAGATGACCGCAGGGATGGGTTCGACACAAGACGACCTAGAGAGCAAGAGAGCAAGAGAGCAATTGACAGAAAGAGTGAGAGAGAGGGAGAGCGAGAGAGAGAGAGAGAGAGAGACAGAGAAAGAGAGAGAGGAGAAGGAGGCGAAGGCGTACTAACAAAGCGCGGGGGGTGCGCGGGGGGAGGGCGCAGCGTCTTCCCCCGCAAAGCCGTCCATGTCCCTGGACAGGAGGCAACGGGCATGAAAGAAGTAGAGAGAGAAAGAGCAGGAGGAGGAGGAAGAGGAGCAGGACGAGCCGGCAGGATGCAGAGAAGGAGGTCTGTTAAAAAAAGCGGGTGGGGGGCGCGGGGGGAGCGCGCAGCGCCTCCCCCCGCAAAGCGTTCCATGTTCAAGGAGAAGCCGCCCCCCCCGTCAAGAAGAAGCCCGAGAGGAGGAGGAGGAGGAGGAGGAGGAGGAGGAGGAGGTCGGAGCGAGCACGAGGAACGAGTGTGAGCGACGGCCGACGACGCCGACGACGACGACGACGACGACGACGAAGACGAAGACGAAGACGAGGAACGAAGACGAAGACGAAGTGATGATGATGTTGCAGATAATTGCTGCTGACGATGATGATGCGGATGATGATGATGATGGTGATGATGCTGCTGATGATGAGGATGAGGATGGTGCCGCGGAAGCTGATGGTGATGATGCTGATGATGAGGATGGAAGTGGATGATGCTGCTGATACTAAAATGCTGCTGCTGCTGCTGCTGCTGCTGCTCCTATTCATCCTGCTGACCATGATGGTGATGATGCTGCAGAAGCTGACGATGATGGTGCTGATGCTGATGCTGATGCTGATGATGATGATGATGATGACGATGATGATGATGATGATGACGATGATGATGATGATGATGCTGATGATGATGAAGATGATGATGATGATGATGGACGTGATGATGATGAATGTTTTGCTCGGCAAGTGGAGGGTCGAGGAAACTTGCATGCAGGCCGATTCGTTGCAACTGCAAGTTTTGGCCCGAGCCCACCCCTCCGCCGAGATGAATCTCGGGGCGCCCTTGCCCCCACTGGGCGCACGGGTGCTGTGCGATGATCGCCTCATGATCGTATACTCCGTCCGATTGGACGGATGTGTCCAGGTGTCCCGCAGCAACTTGGGCTGCATTAGCCTCGCGCTCTGCGATGCAGACCATCCCTCTGCACCTCCATATGAATTGCGGTATAAGCACATTCTGGGTGAAAGGCTTTGCTTTGGGTTGCGTTGGCTGGATCACTGCGATGTGGGTTGTCACCTCTATAGATGTTGTTTGCTGTTGGCTGTCTTGATCATGTCTACTTTGCGTATATATATATATGAGCGACTTTTCCGTTCGAACACGAAACTGTATTGACGTAGTACTGATGCGGCGGAGCAGCATCTGACTTGCACACCCATGCTGGGCGGATGTTAGTGGAAGCATACGCATCAGACCTTTCCTTTTTCAGTCTGGGCGTTTTGAGGCCCCCCAGATCTCAGGTCAATTCGACCGCCCCGAGCCAGGGGTTTGGACGCCTGTTGATCGTGTGCAGGCCAGTCCTGAACTGCTGGGTGGAGCACCCGATATGTCACATGGATAATTCTACCTGGGATCGCTTTTCCGGTTGACGCCAGGTTCCCATTAAATTGTGACCTTCCTCCTGTTTTTTCCATAGTCGCGGCGTTTGATCGCTTCTCTAATACTGGGTGAGCCGGTGTTGTGTTTTCATTGCGTACCTTCTTCCCAGAATTTGTGGCACTTGGGCGCCTTGCGACCACTAATTACCAGAGACCCTGCGTCAGGTGCTGGCGACTCCTGCCCTGACGGTGGTTCCTTGGCAGTGCTATCTCGTGGGACTTGGTTGCGTGGCAGTGTTGCCTTCGACGTACACCAGTGCAAAACCGCATTCCTGGGCCCCTGGAACAGGCCAAGGATACAAGGATAAAGATTCCATGGTGAGACCAACGACATTTTGACACATGTTTCTGTTTTCGATCTACACTGCGCGCATTCTAAGTTGTCAAAAGAAGTTGGAGACGTTGTGACTGCTTTCTTGCAAGAAACCAATGCCACATAATATCTTGGCACCACAGAATCGCCACCTACGCCCCACGTAGACCTTGTTACCACGTTTCAATTCTCAGATGAACCCCCGATAATCGTGGGATACTCCTCGGGTTCTTTTGCCACCGACATGTGTTTCTCAAGATCTAATTCCTTAGCATCACAGCTACATCCCATGTAAACGTTTTCACCGCTTTCCACTTGTACTGTACGACCAGCCCGGGATACTCTTGGGATCTTCCTCCGGTCAGCTTGCTCTAGGTAGGTGTTTGTCCATATCATTACATATGTCTATGTGTTCTCCTCGTATTGTTTCTACATGTCCTGGTGGCCGATTCTCGGGTCATGAGCCCCTGGGGTCGACTGAAACTGCCCTTGGATAGTTCTAGTGTTGCTTGTTGCCCACGGCACCTTCCATATGGTATGTGCCACTTCAACTGCATACACCATTGTCCATTAGTTGCGTTATAGCTGGATTCCTCTGGTGCTGTTACATATTCCCTACGCAGTGACGCACGCAGTGCGCCGAGGCAAACCTGCAGGCATTGCATCCGTCGAGTGCCCCTGTGTCTGCGGCCAGCCAGACTGTTCCTTGCCACGAAGGGTGCGGGGTGTGTGTGTGTGACACATCTGAATAGATGTAAAACTTCTACGGACTGATGTAAAACTTCTACTAAAGTAAAGGGTCTCCATTTTATATATATATATATATTCTTTTATGTAGGTTTCATCTCATCTACTCATGTTCATCTCAGGCTTAGGCTTTCATCTTTTCCCTTAGGTAGGCTCGTGAGGTCCAGGTTTTACTGTTCTCATTTATATATATATATATATCAAAGGCAGGGGGCTGCAGGGACTGTCATAGTTCTGCAGCCAACGAAGACGGCTATGACATTCTGCGATATCGATCCGGGACGCTGGATCGACGTACTACCTGCTTCATTTCATGTTCCTTTCCTGCAATGGGACGTGGCTAACCCAAGAACCACCTTGCCGCTTTGTATTTCACACTGTGTCAAACCAAACCAAACCTTCAGGTTCCGTGCCGTGTCATTTCAGTGCCTGCACGGTCTTCGCAATCTGTTCACAGGGAACATGTCGCTGTTTCTCGGGTGATGTCCATGACTCTCTCCTGTCAGGTTTACTTGGATTGTTTTTGCACGTACGATGCACTCCACATCAAAGTTCGCTAGGACAGTTCTGAGCAAGTATGTGTGTGTGTGTAACATCTAAATAGATGTAAAACTTCTCTCTTTTTCTTCCTTCTGTCTTCTCCCTTTTTAAACCTAATGCAGGGGGTGCCAGGGATGCACACTGGACTGGCACCAACGAAGACGCCAGTGTGTCATCTGTGATATCGATCCGGGACGCTGGATCGACGTACCTGCCGAGTTTTTCCGTGATGGGAAGGGGCTAAGCCAAGTACCCCAAACACAATGATTTATTTTTTTCTGTTCGGTTGCATCAGAACCTTCTTCATCTAATTTGCATGTTTCAGGATTCAGTTCCTGCCGGATCATATAATGATCCATTCTTGTCTAGTGTGATTCCTATGGTGACTCCGACATGGTGCCATAGGGCCATTTGAGGCAACCCTGTTTAGGGTCAATGATGACTGACCTGAACTCCGAATTCACACATTTTAATCTAGTGATTCGTCTAAGTAAAGTGTAACAGCTGGCCTTACCGTTTGGCGCCTTTGATGATGTCCCGCGGTTCGTGTGGTCCCAGGGATCCCAGTGTTTCGTTCTTTCATGTGAAGCTGTGCCGAACTTCAGAAACCTCCGTTTTTGCAGCATTTTCGCAGCAGCACCATACCCGGACATGAATGAACAACCAGGCAGGTACACGACTTGCAGGTGTGGTTTCCTTTCTCTTGATGGTTGTCTGGTGAGGTCAATCATTTTGTGCATCTAATTCATTGGAACTTGAAAGCCGTTTCTATGCCATTGGGGCACGACTTGAACACGGGCCTGTTGTGGCACAATCGCACGACTCCTAGGTTTAGGAACTGAATCCTGCTGTTTAACTAATTGTTTTGGTTCTCTTTTCTGTCACCAACTAGTCCCCCATTTGGTCCCTAATTTTCCCCGCGTGCCTCTCCGTACTGTGTCGTGGGGTCTAGGTGTGTGCGCTGTTTTTGTCAGGTCCGTTTCGCCGTGTCGGTTGGTTCCGGAGGTCCGTCTGTTCCCCTCCCCCCCCTTCGCTGTTTTTGGCCGTCTGCCCGTCGTGTGTCCGCTTTTTTCTTCCTCTTGCCTTTCAGGGTTGACCCGGCTCCGGCCGGGTGTGTGTGTGTAACATCTAAATAGATGTCAAACTTCTCTCTTTTTCTTCCTTCTGTCTTCTCCCTTTTTAAACCTAATGCAGGGGGTGCCAGGGATGCACACTGGACTGGCACCAACGAAGACGCCAGTGTGTCATCTGTGATATCGATCCGGGACGCTGGATCGACGTACCTGCCGAGTTTTTCCGTGATGGGAAGGGGCTAAGCCAAGTACCCCAAACACAATGATTTATTTTTTTCTGTTCGGTTGCATCAGAACCTTCTTCATCTAATTTGCATGTTTCAGGATTCAGTTCCTGCCGGATCATATAATGATCCATTCTTGTCTAGTGTGTGGGTGTGTGTGAGTCAAGCCCGGTTTCTTCGGGTCTATTCGTGTTCGTGCGACTTCATCGAGCAGAGGGTACCGGCAGATCACTTGGGACCGCGACCAACGAAGGGAACCATTTGATCTGGTAAGACAGATTGGGACGCCAATCTGGGTACTGGTACCTGCTTTTTCCATGTCAACCGGCGAAGCTAGGACATGGCAAGTCAATTTTGGCGACATACGCTCTTCCGGGCATTTGGTCCCACAACTCTGAAGAGTTTACTGAAGAATCTTCGACGACATACGGTCTTGCAAGTGTGTGTCAATACGTGTCAATCAGGCGTTCATGATGCGTATGTCTGGTTCCCTAAAGACGAAAGAAGCATGAGACCAAAATCCCTGCATTCCTTCTTAAGTGTGCCTTTCGAACTATGGCCATGAAAACTTGCTGCATAGCTTCTTTCTTGTGAGCGCCAGGCTCCATCTTCCGTCCCGACTTTGACCAGTACCCGACGTGTGCCACGTCTGCAGTGAGTGATTTGCCACACTGCGTGTTTCCAACCCATGGGTTCCCTATTGCAGTTGACCCATGCACCTCGGCGACATTGCTTAGCATGTGGAGCACCCTAGTTATAAGTTGGTTTCAAAACCCTTCTAACCGTAGGTATTACTATAACTACCGTAAACCCCAGTTGTTGTAGTTGTACGCCCACTGAGCTATCTTGCTGCTCGGCGACGTGGTTCCTGTGTGTCACCGCTGTGAAGGCGGATCGGGGGCGTGAGCGATCGGAAAGGCGAGAACGGCGAGAGAGGGGAGAGAGGCAAGGGAGGCGAGAGAGGCGAACCCGTGTGACCATCGGGGGTGCCTCCAGTGCCGACACTGCGGTGATGCAGCGCCTTCGGTGCTTTGGTGCCTTGGCTTCGATTCTTCTCGCGCCTCCCACCCCTTGAGTCGTAGTTTGCACCATGACAGACACATCTGCATTTGGTGATTGTGGCGTTGGATATCCATGAAGACCCGACTGCCTCCCTCTAGAATCCAGTCCCAATGCACTTTGTCATGCTTACGATGTCTTCTTTTGGTATCAGTCGGGGCCTAGACAATCCGACCCAGTCGGTGCAACCTGCACCCACCGTACAGCCACCGCTGTGGTTCTTTCCCATCCAAGGTGACCTCGCTTCCTTCTACGATGGCCCGAACTGCCTCAATGTTCGGTTTTCCACCAGTGCCGCAGCTGCCGCTTGCGTGCATGCGATCCGAGATGCCAATTGGACGTGATGCCAAGGGGATCCAGAGGTAAACTCAGCTTACCGTATTTGCACAGTCTAGTCCACATTTCCACATTCCAAAATTGCCTTCTGCAGAATGCGTTGCTGTTCACGTCCGGCACTCTAGGACTATATATTAGCATGTCGCTCTACCACGTTTTCTTTAGGCCTTATTATCCCTAACTATCCCCTTAACTATCCCAGTATTATACCTAATATACCCTTAACTATCCACTTGACTATCCCCTTACCTAAACCATTATTATACCTAATCTCATGGCTAATATCCACTCAACTATCCACTTAACTGTCCCCTCAATTATACACAATATCCCCTTAACTATCCACTTAACTATCCCCTTATTCAACTAAATATCCCCTTGACTATCCCCTTGACTATCCACTTATTATACCGTACTATCCCCCTACCTATCCTCAAAATTGCTCCAACAATTGACCTCAAAACTGGTCCAAAATTGACCCCCAAAGGGTCCAGTTACGGGGCTAGTTAAGGGGATAGTTAAGTGGATAGTTGAGGGGATAGTTTCAGTGGATATTTTCGGTTTCTGCAAGCTAAATAGGGTGCTATCCACTTAACTATCCACTTAACTATCGACTTAATACGGGGATGGTTTTCGGCTTTTTGGGGGTCGATTTTCGGCAAGTCCGGAGGTGATTTTTTTTGGCATTCTGGAGACATGTTCTTGCCAGATGGAGGGATAGTTAAGTGGATAGTGACTCCAAAAAATAGCATTTTTAGGGTGGATAGTTGGCATTTTTAAGGGAATACTTAAGTGGATAGTTACTCCAAAAATAGCATTTTTAGGGGGAAAGTTAAGTGGATAGTTTGCATTGTGAAGGCGATACTTCAGTGGATACTTACTCCAAAATTAGCATCTTTACGGGGGAAAGTTAAGTGGATAGTTTGCATTTTTACGGGGATACTTAAGTGGATATTTACTCCAAAGATAGCATGTTTTAGGGGAAAAGTTAAGGGGATAGTTGCTAGCATGAAGCCCCTAAAGAGACCCCCTCAGAACGTGATACAGCACCATGCTTAAAAAAAAAATATATTTATATGTAACTGTTTCATGCCTGGATCCTTTGGCCGCTGTTTCGACTGTGCTTCTTTTGCGGGCCATGAGGGCCAAGGCGAGAAGGAAGCATGCTCAGTGGTCCGTACCCAAAAAGGTGTACCGGATAACCTTCTCTACTTGTTTGACATTGGCCTTGGCAGCCTGTCGCCTGCCAGTCTTCGTGCATCACGAACCACGTGTGTGAACAGCCATGTCCGTAGTTTCCTGCATGTCAACTTTGCCGTGACACTGGATTTCACCTTTTTCATTGACTCCCATGTCTAACTTTTTCCCCTATATGGGTCCGTATTCCACGCGACTGGGTCCCCAAGAGTCGCTCCAGTACTGCCTTGCCTGGACAGTTGCATGTGCTCCCCAGGCCAATGTTTCCGGCATGCTTGTCTTTACAGCCATGAGTGCTGCAGCGACGAGTGGTCAGTACTGAGACCTTTGCCAGGAAAAACGGGCCAACGGTCCATGTTGTTAGGTGTGTGGGTGCTTGCCGCAGTCCCGTGTGATTGGATATCTTCTCCACTTGCGGTTCAGCTAGAGAGTTGTTTCAGAATCGGAAAGCTCCAAGCCCAGGGTCCCCCAAAGTCTTCATTTCAATTCTCGAGGATGTTGGAGATAAACCAGGTTAGGCCCCTTCAAATTCTTCTCGGCTTCTTTGCGTAGTGTTTATCTGGAGAAGCTCTGGGGGGAACTGTGCCAAACAGCGAAAGGGGAGAAGAAAACAAAAAAAAGCACCTTGTTTTCTTAGAAGAAGAAACCCACCATGTTGTGCTAGTTCCGGTTGGTTGGTCAATGATCCTTATTTGTCTTGAACGCTATGTCCGCGCTTCCTCTTCCTCTCCTTGTTGGCCTCCTGCTTTGTCTCTTTTCCTTCTCGTGTCCTGCTGGCGCCCCTCTCGTCCGCCCCTGTCCGTGTCTCGCCCTCCCCGTCTCCTCCTCGTATTCCCCCTCCACCGTCCTTCTTCGCCGCATCCTTCAACCTGTCTCTGTCTTCGCCTCCTCCGCCGACGCCACGGCAGCCTTCTTCCCTCACACCTTCCCTTTCCCCATTCTTCTTCCGAGGCTCCCCCCCGTCCCTTCATCAACCCACCTTCCCTGCTTCCAAACCCCTCATAAGGAGACCCCCCCCTTCAAGCAGAAGCCGCCCCCTTCGAGAAGAAGCCCCCCCCCCCTCTTCAAGAAGGTCCCCCCCCCTCAAGAAGCCCCCCCCCCCTTCAAGAAGAAGCCCCCCCCCCCTTCAAGAAGCCCACCCCCCCCCTTCTTCTTCTTCTTGGGAGGGGGGGGCCCCGCACTGAACTCCCTTGAAGAAGCCCCCCCCCTCAAGAAGAAGCCCCCCCCTCCTTCAAGAAGCTCCCCCCCCCTTCTTCTTCTTCTTGGGGGGGGCCTGCCCCGCACTGAAGACCTCCCTTCAAAGAAGCTTTCCCTTGAAGAAGCCACCCCCCCTTGAAGAAGTAGGGGACCCCTACCCTATCGGGGCGGTCTCTGTCTTTCCTGGTGGTTTTGCCTCCTGTCTTGGGATAACTCTGATGTCTTTCCTGGTGGTTTTGCCTCCTGTCTTGGGAATTGGCGGAACTCGTTTTATGTTCCAGCTAAAATAGCTCTGTTTTCTTTCTCACCGCGCGGTGCCATCTTGTGGGCATTTTGGTTTTTGAGTTGAGCCATTTACTTTTAGGTCAGTGTAGTTTAGGAACTTCAAACATCCAGGGTTGCTACTCCCCAAAGGGAATTACATGGAATTACGTATATGATATATACCCTGAAATGGAAGAGACCCAATTTCTTGCAGAACTACATACATAGAATATAGGTCCCCAGTGAAAATACTCATCAGCTTTTGAGGAACACCACCCAATTCCATTGGTTTTCATTGCAAAATAGTTTTTTTCATAGTTCTACGACACCGGTCGTGGGGGGTACCCTTCGGTGAGCCTGAAAAACTCATTTTTTTAATGCAATATAAAAAGAAATTGATCATTTCGGGGGACCTGTTTTTTTTTTGAAACGTTCTAGTTTAGGAACTTCAGACATCCAGGGTTGCTACTCCCCAAAGGGAATTACGTATATGATATATACCCTTATACATGGAAGAGACCCAATTCCTTGAAGAATTACTTACATAGAATTTAGGTCCGCAGTGAAAATATTCATCAATTTTTAGAGGAACACCACCCAATTCCATTTGTTTTCATTGCAAAATATGTTTTTTTTTCATAGTTCACCCCGCGATTGCCCCAGCAAAACGCGTTGCAACACACTTTCCATGCTGAAATCGCAGTTGTCCCTTTGCGGAACTGGTTTGAATCACAGGCGGCTGCAGCAATCCATGTTTCTGTCAAAAACCTGAAAAAATTTATTTTCCTGGATCAAAATGGATAGCCGGAAATATTCTATGTATATGTTGTTTTTTTCCGATTCCGGAAGATGTTTTTATTCTATGTACAGGTGTTTTTACCGATTCCGGGAGATGTTGTTGAGGCCGAAATTATCGATTTTGTATTCTATGTATCCCATCGGGATTATATAATATATCATATGTACTCACAAGTTTTTGCACATATCTGTACAACTTGAAGGGGAAAGCGTTCTAACTGCTAAAATGCTGGTTAAAACAATGTCAAAGGGAACCGTTCTATTTGCGGAAATGCTGGTAGAAAACAATTTCAAGGGGGAAACGTTCCAACTGCTGAAATGCTTGTGTAAAAAACAACATGAAGGGGGAAGCATTCAAACTGCTGAAAGGCCGGTAAAAAACAAGTTCAAGGGGGAAGCATTCTAATTGCTGAAATGCTGGTAGAAAAACAATTTCAAGGGAGAAACATTCTAACTGCTGAAAAGCTGGTAAAGGGCAATTTCAAGGGGGAAGCATTCTAACTGATGAAATGCTGGTAAAAAAACATTTCAAGGGGGTAAACATTCTAACTGCTGAAATGCTGGTAAAAAGTAATTTCAACGGGATTCTAACTGCTGAAATGCTTGTGTAAAAGCAACTTCAAGGGGGAAGCATTCTAACTGATGAAATGCTGGTAAAAAACCATTTCAAGGGGGAAACATTCTAACTGATGAAATGCGTGTGTAAAAAGCAACTTCAAGGGGGAAGCATTCAAACTGCTGAAATGCTGGGAAGCATTCTACCTGCTGAAATGCTGGCAAAAGCAATTTCAAGGGGGAAGCGTTCTAATTGCTGAAATGTTGGTAGAAAGCAATTTCAAGGGGGAAGCATTCTAACTGCTGAAATGCTTGTAAAAAACAATTTCAAGGGGAAAGCATTCTAACCGCTGAAAAGCTGGTAAAAGGCCGTTTCAAGGGGGAAGCATTCTAACTTCTGAAATGCTGGTAAAAAAAACCTTTTCAAGGGGGGAAGCATGCTAACTGCTGAAATACTGGTAAAAAAGAATTTCAAGAAAAGCATTCTAATTGCTGAAATGCTGGTAGAAAAACCATTTCAAGGGAGAAACATTCTAACTGCTGAAATGCTTGTGTAAAAGCAACTTCAAGGAGGAAGAATTTTAACTGATGGAATGCTGGTAAAAAGCCATTTCAAGTGGGAAACATTCTAACTGCTGAAATGCTTGTGTAAAAAGCAACTTCAAGGGGGAAGCATTCTAACTGCTGAAATGCTGGGAAGCATTCTACCTGCTGAAATGCTGGCAAAAACAATTTCAAGGGGGAAGCGTTCTAATTGCTGAAATGCTGGTAGAAAGCAATTTCAAGGGGGAAGCGTTCTAATTGCTGAAATGCTGGTAGAAAGCAATTTCAAATGGGAAACATTCTAACTGCTGAAATGCTTGTGTAAAAGCAATTTCAACGGGGAAGCATTCTAGCTGCTGAAAAGCTGGTTGAAAAAAAATCAAGGGGGAAGCATTCTAACTGATGAAATGCTGGTAAAAAACATTTCAAGGGGGGAAGCTTTCTAACTGCTGAAAGGCTGGTAAAAAGCAATTTCAAGGGGGAAGCATTCTAACTGATGAAATAATGGTAAAAAACAATTTCAAGAAAAGCATTCTAATTGCTGAAATTCTGGTTTAAAAAACAATTTAAAGGGGGAAGCATTCTAACGGCTGAAATGCTGGGAAGCATTCTACCTGCTGAAATGCTGGCAAAAGCAATTTCAAGGGGGAAGCGTTCTAATTGCTGAAATGTTGGTAGAAAGCAAGTTCAAGGGGGAAGCGTTCTAATTGCAGGAATGCTGGTAGAAAGCAATTTCAAGGGGGAAGCATTCTAACTGCTGAAATGCTTGTGTAAAAAACAATATGAAGGGGAAACATTCTAACTGCTGAAAGGCTGGTAAAAAGCAATTTCAAGGGGAAAGCATTCCAACTGGTGAAATGCTTGTAAAAAACAATTTCAAGGGGAAAGCATTCTAACCGCTGAAAAGCTGGTAAAAAGCCGTTTCAAGGGGGAAGCATTCTAACGTATGAAATGCTGGTAAAAAACCTTTTCAAGGGGGGAAGCATGCTAACTGCTGAAATACTGGTAAAAAACAATTTCAAGAAAAGCATTCTAATTGCTGAAATGCTGGTAAAAAGCCATTTCAAGGGAGAAACATTCTAACTGCTGAAATGCTTGTGTAAAAGCAACTTCAAGGGGGAAGCATTCTAACTTCTGAAATGCTGGTAAAAAGCCATTTCAAGGGGGAAACATTCTAACTGCTGAAATGCTGGCAAAGCAATTTCAAGGGGGAAGCGTTCTAATTGCTGAAATGCTGGTAGAAAGCAATTTCAAGGGGGAAGCGTTCTAACTGCATTCTAACATCTGATGATATTTATAGTGCGAAGGCATTCTAAGTGAGGGATTTGTGCAAAGGGTTCTCCAAAAACAAAAAAACTTAAAACCGGGGTGGGGAGGCATTCTAACTGAAGGATTTTTTGCCGTGCGCGGGCCGCATTCTAACTGAGGGGGAGGAATATTTGGAATTCGCGGAGGCATTCTAACTTTCATTTTAACGGTATATATATATAATTCTATATATTATAATATTTAAGTTTATTGTTATGTCGTACACATTACATCATATATCGTAATATTTTCATACTTTTGCTTTCATTTTTGTGGGGGGACATTAAATACGATTTTCTCGCGTTTGGGCATGAGGCGCTCCCAAGTCTGAATGCCTTGGGGCCCGCCTTCCCTTGTATTGAAGAGTAAAACTGCAAGATTGTTCTTGGTAGTGTATCCCATTAGTATCTCATTAATTCCCAATAATATCTTCATAGCATCATGTTTAAATTAAATCAGACCAAGCCCTATTGTTTGCCGGACATATCCCAAAGTATCCGCATCATATCCGATATCCCCTTAGTTCCACTCGGTCATATCCCCATATAGCACCAACAAAACCATGATTTTTGATATTTTTGTGGATTATATCGCCGTTTTCAGATTAAACCCGGTATCATGCTGGTTCCTCGACATATTCCATTACTGTATGTACCC